AAGCGCCAGTCTGTCGCTTTTTTTCTCCCAACTGTTCTCGTCCACTTAAGACATCAAATGTGTTTAAGTAAATACTCTCCGAGCCGGCCATTTTGACATATTTTGTGTGTATTTCATCATTTGGACGCGCCTGAAGCTCAAAGTGTAAATAGCTTGTCCGTTTTGGAGCGCGTCGCGTGCACACATTTCAGCATGGGGAACAGCGTCTCTTGTGTGGATTGTGCTTTCAACGTTTTATTATCAAACATGTCCCGCAATTTAGCAACAGTATAAGACGGCCTTTTTTCAACAATCACCGATTGTGCTGATTCTGACTTTTAAGTTTGGATTTTAGGGAGGAATGAATGCGCGTGAAGTGAAGGGAAAAAAGTTGCGCTAGAAGAAACGCGGCTATAATCCTTAGAAGCCAAAATCTAAATAAAAAATTAAAATAGCTTAATAAAACAGCCACAGGCCTAAAGTGTAAGCAGACGTTTGAATGTTTAGTTCTCTCCTCTATCATAATTAAGCAGGGTTTTCATGTTGCGTGTGCTGAAGCTCCTCTGCACGAGCGCGATCTCGCTTCTGAGTTGCGAATAGCAAAAATGCATCATAGACAAATGTTTGAATATTATTACATATAAAAACAGCTGGCGACTCTGGTGAGATAGAATTTGCATGACAATGTATCTATAGCAATAATAAATGTATGTGTGTTTTCTTAATTTCTCCATTACCGATAGCAGAAGCGTTAACGTCAGAGCTTATCGATACTCGGGTCTTTCATAATTTAGCCCCGGGACCGATTAAATACCGGGTTTAGGTACCCATAGTGGTAACCAGGTCTGTGTAATGTTCTTAGAACACAGGTGCAAAGTGGTTTAAGACATGTTTTTTTAAGACATGGCCTTAAAAAATGGTGCAAATACCAGTAAATTGACTACCACAAACCTTAGTAATTCACCTTATATGATTTATTTAATATCTTCTCACAAAAATGTAGCATCTGTGTAACTGTGTCTTTGCCCTTTCATCTGTATTTTTTCACTGTGTGTCTTCGGTAAATCCTGACTGTAGTTTTTTTAAAACAAAAAGAGGCTTTGCATTGGCAAGCATGCATTGTCAGTTATGTCGTCAGTTAAGTCATGAAATTACAAAAACGGTGATGAAAGCTGCCTTAAAACTGTGCATACATGCAAGTATTTGTTAAGAACATGTCTCTGAAATGCAGTGGTTTTCAAAACTGTCCTGGAGCTCCCCAGCACTGTCTCCCTCATCTAACACACCCGATTCAACTCGTCACCTCATTGGTAGAGACGAAGTGGGTCAGAAAAGGTAAAGGGTTGTGAGAAAATGCGATGCATGTCAGATCATGTTCAGCAGTGGCAGCTCTTAAAGCATCCAAAATAAGTTAATTACCCAGCTGCTGTGATGTCTGTTAATCAAAGAACAAAAGAAAAAAGAGGAAATCGTTAACTTTTGTAGCTTTAAGGATTCATCAATATTTAATTTAGAATTTAGTGTTTAATAACTTTATAACATTTTTGTATATTTCCTACTTGCTAAAGGGCACAGGTAAATATGACATTTATTATAATTATAATTATTTTAATTTATTATAATGTTATTATAATAATAGCTCTCAATTATACTGTAATGTTGAATGTTTATAGGAAAAAAACAACTTCATAGAGACATCAGTAGTATTGGTAGTATACTCGCCTTCAGTCATAAAGAAGTTGTAACAAATATTAAAATATACTGTCTTTATGTTGTTTCTACATTAATTGAAAGATTGAATGTGAAATTTTTGCAATACAAAATTATATTTAAAAACTAATGTTAGGTGGGATTAATCGCGGAAAAAAATGTGTGATTAATTAGTTGTTTTTTTTTTATGATTGACAGCACACATTTACATATGATTTGATATTAAATATTTTGACCAGACTAGAAATGCAACGCTCAGTAATGTAAAAGGGGGACTCTGATTAATCTACCAAGAGATTTCTGGCCTGAAAAAGTTTGAAGGCCGCTCTAGAGGAGACACATGAGAGATTTCTTGAGATGCAGGACTTCAGCAAGCGTCTTCATGTTCTCTACATTTAATCTCTAGGAGAAGCAATAAGGATATTACAGACACAGGCTCTGTTGTTATTGGTGTGTTTTCTAAAATCAGAGACTTGAGTCGATAACCTTAAGTCAGCTTTGAGATGTTACTAACTGTTTCTTCTCTCTCTCTCTCTCTCTCTCTCTCTCTCTCTCTCTCATTCTACAGATTGAAAATTTTAACTTCGGTGGAAAGGTCATCACTTGCTCCTCCGAGTGCACCTGTCATCTTCCCATCACAGAGCTACTCCAATCCCAGCCCCAACCGGTGGCGCGACACGCCTCACCTTCACACTGCCCTCGTCCTTGTGTCCCTCCTTTGTTTCGCAACTCCACATCAGAGACGCCAATTCACCATCTGTTACTAAGAAAAGGCAGCATGATCATGCCAGATCGTACCATCTTCTTCTCATACCTCACCTGAGGACGATCAGCGTGGTTCCCCCGGCTCGTTGTGAGCGCTCTGACCGACGAGATGGGAGACTGGGTGTGTCTGAGCCCAGCCGAATTCTCCCAGCTGCAGCAGTACAGTGAGTGTGAGTATCTGAGCACAAGACGCCTCTCTCCTCTGACCTCTGGCAGGTTGATTGGAATTGATTTTGGGGCTGTTAGGTGAATAAGAATGAATGAGAGGTTTTATCGGTCCATTTAGTTGGTTCTTGGCCATCCTTTTCGATAACTGTACTGCTCAGCTCCCCTGTTTAAGCTGATGCTTTGCTCAATATATTATGTAGGAGGATGCATACACATTCTGCAGCCGACCCACTGGACTTTTAGGAAGCACTGCTGGGAATGTAGGCTATATTGACGTAACGCGTTGATGTGCTGCCAGTGCTCTCTGCGTCAGGATTAGGGATGCACCGATACCGATACTGGTATCGGTATCGGGCCCGATACTGGTCAGGATTGATTAACAACGTTTAATGCAGTTATTGATGCAGACCACTTTATAAGCTAAACAGGCATATGAAATTTTCAATAACATTAAAAAGTGATGGTCTTGCTTATCAGTTTACTTATTTTGCAAGGGAACTGTGCTATGACAGATTTGAGGGAATGTAGAATGGTTGTATTGATTTAATGGGGGGAAGTGAAATCGGATGCTAAAGCAGGATATAAATTCAGAGTGTATCTGTTATTATAAGGGCCAGTAAATCTGGCTCATATTTTGTTATAGGACTGGCTGTGCTAGCTCATATTTGACCCTGGACCACAAAACCAGTCATAAGGATTCAGTTTTTGTAAATTGAGATTTATACATAATCTGAAAGCTGAATAAATAAGCTTTCCATTATTACATGGTTTGTTAGGATAGGGCAATATTTGGCCGAGATACAACTATTTGAAAATGTGGAGTCTGAAGGTTCAAAAAAAAATCTAAATATTGAGAAAATCGCCTTTAAAGTTGTCCAAATGAAGTTCATAGCAATGCTTATTACTAATCAAAAAATAAGTTTTGATATATTTATGGTAGGAAATTGACAAAATATCTTCATGGAACATGATCTTTACTTAAAGGTGCCATAGAATGCATTGATATATTACATATATATACATATATATATACAATATTTTAAATTGTTCTCTGATATCTACATAGAAGGTATGTGGCTTAGGTAAGGGCAAAAAAATCTCCAGAAACGGTTTACCCTAGGATTTGTACCTAGACTGAAATGGTCTGTTTTTACCTTATTTGGAAGGGTCATGAATAATAATGTTGAGCTCTGCTCTGATTGGCTGTTTCGCAGTGCGGCTAAATGTTGAGCTCTGCTCTGATTGGCTGTTTCACAGTGTGGCTAATTTCAGTAGCTCACACAGCAGGAAGGAAACATATATATATTTCAATACTTTCTCTCACAGTTATATCGTTGGGTAATTATACCGTATATAAAATGCGGGCATCAGGGAGCCGCTATTAATATGCGGGGATATGCGAATATGCATGATCACTTTTTACTTTCACTTTCAAGATTTGCGATCGCACGTGCTCTGTGTAAACTCCAGCAGCAGTACTTACCACACATTTTACAAGATCAGATGCTTGTCAGTGGTGCTCAGGATCTGTAAATTATTCGCCATCATCC